GACATATCAATTTTAGTTACCAAACTTCAATTAAACTATATAGAAATGTTCTCCAAGGTTCATAGATCATTTTAGAATTATTAAAACATATTTTTAACATCAAATTCAAGGTTTATGATTCTTGGTTCTTCAAACATGTCAAACACAAAACTCAACCAAATGACCATTTATGAACGTAAAAACAACCTATATGAACATTCTAATCTTTAGATATATCTACGGGCTTACCTTGAAGCGTAGGGGAGGTTTTGAAGATTTTCCGGCGAACCTTCCGGCGACTCTATCTCACTGCTCCGGCGACCTCACACAAAGATGACAGCACCACTGGGCAGAAATCACATTGCGTAAACATCCGCAGGGACCATCGCAATGCTTTGTTTTAATTAAACAGTCGGATTCCCCTTGTCCGTACCAGTTCTGAGTTGGTTGTCTCGTGCCCGAGGAAGGCCCCCAAGAGGACCATTCCCAATCCATCCCCGAAAGGCACGCAGCGACCCGCTCTCGCCACGAGAGCAGCTCAAGCAGTCCGCCAACAACCAAAGGGCTCAAGACTGGGACCCCCGTGCCCAACCCTCAGAGCCAATCCTTTTCCCAAAGTTACGGATCCATTTTTCCGACTTCTCTTGCCTACATTGTTCCATTGGCCAGAGGGTGCGGTTATGAGTACGACCGGGCATGGACGGCACTCGGTCCTCCAGATTTTTAAGGGCTGCCAGGGGCGCACCAGACACCACGTGAAGTGCGATGCTCTTCCAACCGCTGGACCCTACCTCCTGCTGAGCCGTTTCCAGGGTGGGCAGGTTGTTAAACAGAAAAGATAACTCTTCCCAGGCCCCCGCCGACATCTCCGGAATCCCTAACATTACCGTCAACTGCCACATCCCGGTTCAGGAATTTTAACCCGATTCACTTTCGGTGCATGCGCCGAACGCGGTGTCTGTCAGGGTTCCCCCGACCCTTAGGATCGACTAACCCATGTGCAAGTGCCGTTCACGTGGAACCTTTCCCCTCTTCAACCTTCAAAGTTCTCATTTGAATATTTGCTACTACCACCAAGATCTGCACCGACGGCCGCTCCACCCAGACTCACGCCCGAGGTTTTGCAGTAACCGCCGCACCCTCCTACTCATTGGGGCTTGGCTCTTGCCCCAACGGCTGAGTATAGGTCGCACGCTTTAGCGCCCTCCATTTTCGGGGCTAGTTGATTCGGCAGTTGAGTTGTTACACACTCCTTAGCGGATTTCGACTTCCATGACCACCGTCCTGCTGTCTTAATCGACCAATACCTTTTGTGGGATCTAGGTTAGCGCACAGTTTGGCACCGTAACCCGGCTTCCGGTTCATCCCGCATCGCCTGTTCTGCTTACCAAAAATGGCCCACTTGGAGCTGTTGATTCGGTGGCTCGGCTCAACAAAGCAGCCGCACCCTCCTACCTATTTAAAGTTCTAGAATAGGTCGAGGGCATTGCACCCCCAATGCCTCTAGTCATTGGCTTTACCTGATAGAACTCTCACGCCAGCTCCAACTATCCTAAGGGATACTTCGGAGGGAACCAACTACTAGACGGTTCGATTAGTCTTTCGCCCCTATACCCAAGTCAGACGAACGATTTGCACATAAGTATCGCTGCGGGATTCCACCAGAGTTTCCTCTGGCTTCACCCCGCTCAGGCATAGTTCACCATCTTTGGGTCCCAACAGGTATGCTCACACTCAAACCCTTCTCAAAAGATCAAGGTCAGTCGACGGTGCACCCCGAAAAGGGATCCCGCCAATCAGCTTCCTTACGCCTTGCGAGTTTTTCCACTCGCCAACTCGCACACAGGTCAGACTCCTTGGTCCGTGTTTCAAGACGGGTCGAATGGAGAGCCCACAAGTCAACGACCTGAGTACGCAGGTGCCAAAGCACACGCGGGGCACGCACTACTTCCCACAATACAAGAGACGGCATTCCCCTAGCATATCAAATGCCCAAGCTTCAACCGCCACCTGAATTCTCGCTGATCCACACCCAGAGCCTATCAGCAGACTGGCTAACCACCGGTCTCCATCCGCTTCCCTCTCGACAATTTCAAGCACTCTTTGGCTCTTTTTTCAAAGTTCTTTTCATCTTTCCCTCGCGGTACTTGTTCGCTATTGGGCTCTCACCTGTATTTAGACTTGGACGGAATTCACCACCAAATTTGGGCTGCATTCCCAAACAACCCCGACTCTAAGACAGCACCTCGTGGTGCAACAGGGTCTAGGCCCGACGGGGCTCTCACCCTCTCCGGCGCCCCTTTCCGCCGCTAAGGACGCTTCTCCAGACTACAATTCAAACGGCAAAACCATTCGATTCTAAGGCTAGGCTGTTCCCATTTTATCGCCGTTACTAAGGAAATCCTTGTAAGTTTCTTCTCCTCCGCTTATTGATATGCTTAAACTCAGCGGGTAGTCTCGCCTGACTTGGGGTCGCAATCAAAGAGCCAAAATCGGCAGCTTCATAGGATCCCGACGCCACAATGAAGCCAAGCAAGGCTGGCAACTATGCACACCTGGCACATCCACCGCACACCAAGACATAAACAAAATCAAGGACAACATTTTCGGCCAACCACGCCCAAGGAAGGGCCCAGGAGGCCAGGATCTATTCCCACTCCACACACGAGAGGGGAGACATAATGCATGACACCCAAGCATACGTGCCCTCAACCGAATGGCTTGAGGTGCAACTTGCGTTAAAAGTTTCGATGGTTCACGAGATTCTAAAATTCACACCACGTATCGCATTTCACTACGTTCTTCATCAATGCAAGAGCCGAGATATCCATTGCCGAGAGTCATTTTTATTAAAAGGATGCAAAGCTCACAGGCAGCATAACTAAGCTCTACGAGGTTGCACACTCATTATTATATTCCTTGGCACTGCTGCGCCGGTATTTTTGTTCGTCGTGGGCATATCAAAAAGCCAGCACCCCGACATTCGAATCAATAATTGGTACAGGTTAGCAAGTCATTCTACCGCGAGGGTTCGACAATGATCCTTCCGCAGGTTCACTTACGGAAACCTTGATACGACTTCTCCTTCCTCTAAATGATAAGGTTCAATGGACTTCTCTCAACAAGACTCCGCTGTATTGACTCTCGGATATTAATAATTTACATTTTATCCTTGAAAGAGCTCTCAATGAAAGAGCTCTCAATATAACTTTGGCCGAGACTTCTCTCTGGCGACGTCGTGCTACAGTAGCCCGTCACCATTGCCATCGTTTTTTGAGCTTCATCTCTTGGTGCCTCACCTTTTTGAGTATAGATTCTTGTTCCCCTCTCTTGGGCGACCATTTCTACCGACGGAATTACTCAGCCATGCCCTTGTTCGTGTAGGGTGTGCGTTGACTTCTACGGTTCACTGTTCACTGTCTTCCCCGATGCTTCCTGCGTAGCTTCTCTGAGTTGCTTCTGCTCCCATGGGTTCTGGCAAAGCCCAGAGTGCTAAGAAGACTAAGAAGAAGCTCCCTAGGAGCCCAAAGAAGAAAACGACTGGAGATGATGTTATGGAGACTCCTAGTCTGAATACGGATATTGCCATGGAGCTACCTGAGAAGGAGAAGGCTCCAACTGCGTCTTCAACATCTGAGACATCCCCCGCACATGCTGAAGACGTCCCTGATACAGGTCCTCAGGTGGGGATAACCTCTGCGCAAGAGACCCCCCAGGTGTTTGACAAAATGTCTGAACCAGACATGGTTGCTGCCAAACCTGTTACGTTTGCTGACCTCTTCAAGGGCAATAGGGATCCTGACCAAGGTATGATTCTGAAACAATATGATGTTGGTGAAGGTGTTCTCCATATCCCGGATTCTATTATTAAACCTGTTGAAGAGCTGTGGGGTTTTTGTCTTGTGGGCTGCTTTACTGGACGCTTCCCTGGCCTCAAGGCAGTGGATGCTATTGTCAAAAGCTGGAATGTACCTTTTAGAATCATTCCCCATTGTAAGGGTTGGGTTATTCTGATGTTTGAGAATGATATTGATAGAATGGACGTGCTGGGTAGGGAAAGGGATAAAGCTTATGGGAAGGAGCTTAGAGTCAAGATCCCTTCTCATGGTTTCATGTTTGATTTTGCTGAATTCACCACTCTACCTGTCTGGGTTCAGCTACATAATGTACCATTGCAGCTTTGGTCTGAAGAAGGAATTGGAATGCTGGCCTCAAAAGTGGGGAAGCCTCTGAGAACTGACCTGGTTACAAAGCAGCAACGCAAGGGTGGTTTTTGTAGAGTGCTTGTTGAGGTTGACTTCTCAAAACAGCCTGTGACCCACTTTGAGGTAGCTTGTATGGGTAAGACTTACACACAACTTGTGGTGTTCGAGGAAGACCCTAAATACTGCTTTCATTGCAAAACCTGGAATCATTGCCCCTTCTACTGCAAAGAACTGGGTAAGAAGAAGGAGATGGCAGGTTTGGAGACTACACATAAGGTGGATTTGGATAAGCCAAAGGAGACTAAAAGGCCCCCTGGGAAGGCTGGAGCTAAGGACAGTGTACCTCCTGGAATAAATCCACATGTTGAACCTGTAGGGGGTTTGATTCCTTCTTCTTCCAACAACAAGGAGAAGGCCATAGAACCCATTCCCAAAACTGGAGGCCTGGCTGTTGACAACATGGTTGGAAAGGATGTTGATTTGCTTAAGAAGAAGAGGATGGAAGTTGGAGACATGGTTGGGAAGAGACCAGAGAAGAAGAAAGGTGGTAAGGGCAATGCCCCCCCTCCTCCATGAAGGTCCTTTGCTGGAATATTAGAGGACTTTCTAGGTCCTCTAAGCAGAAATTTTTGTGTAAATATCTTTTGGAACTTGGTGTCCATTTAGCGTGCCTGTTGGAGACTAAGATCACAGGAGCCAAGTTGGAAATTTTTGTGATTACCAAACTGCCTGGGTGGAGATTTGCCACCAATTTTGAAGTTTTGCCTGGCAGTCGTATGGTAATCTTGTGGAACCCTTCCTTTTTTGCATGTAATGTTGTGGGAGTGGGTGAGCAATATCTTCACTGTGCAGTCCAATGCCTCACAACACAAAAGGAGTTTGTCCTATCCTTCATTTATGGTCTGTACACTGTTACCAAAAGAAGGGAGCTGTGGCATGACTTGTCTTCTTTAGCACAGAATATTACCATACCCTGGGCATTGCTTGGGGATTTTAATTGTGTTTTGGCTAGCAATGAGAGGGTGAACTGTATGAGCCAGGGAGCATACTATATGACTGATCTGCAAGCCTTCAAGTCTTCTAACTGCTTAGAAGATGTTCCTTCTACTGGAAATTTCTTCACTTGGCATAAAGGGAACAAGCTTGCTAAACTGGATAGAGTCCTTGCTAACCAATCCTGGGGAGACATTGGTTTGGCCCCAACTTGTGAATTCTTGGATTTCAACTTCCTNTTAGCACAGAATATTACCATACCCTGGGCATTGCTTGGGGATTTTAACTGTGTTTTGGCTAGCAATGAGAGGGTGAACTGTATGAGCCAGGGAGCATACTATATGACTGATCTGCAAGCCTTCAAGTCTTCTAACTGCTTAGAAGATGTTCCTTCTACTGGAAATTTCTTCACTTGGCATAAAGGGAACAAGCTTGCTAAACTGGATAGAGTCCTTGCTAACCAATCCTGGGGAGACATTGGTTTGGCCCCAACTTGTGAATTCTTGGATTTTAACTTCCTATCTGACCACTGCCCCACCCTTTTCCAGTGTGGTGCACCCCTTGGCAACAGGTCCAGGCCTTTCAGATTCTTCAATATGTGGCTAAAGCATGAGAACTTCAATGGGTTGGTCTCCCAGTTTTGGGAGGCAGGTGTGGTTGGCTCTAAGCAATTCTCCTTATGTTCCAAGCTTAAACGTCTGAAACCTTCCTTAAAATCCCTCAATAAGCAGGCTTTTGGTCATATTTCTAGAAGAGCTATGGAAGCTAAAGAGGAGTATGGATTAGTGATGAAGCAGGTGGTCCTGGATCCTAATAATCAAACCCTTCTTGATGATGCTGATATTAAAAGGAAGAGAGCTAACTTCCTCCTTGATGCTGAATTGGCCTTCTTTCAGTAGAAAGCCAAATGTGACTTCCTTATGAATTCTGATAGATGCACTACTTACTTCCACTCCATTGTTAAGAAGAACAGAAGGAAAAACACTGTTGGGTTCTTGGTTAGAGAGGATGGATCTAAAACTACTTCTAAGGATGAGGTGGCTAGTATCTTTGTGGACTACTTTACTACATTGTTTGGCACTACTTCATCAGTGGAACCCATTGAGCTGGAGAGTTTGACTGCTGGAACCAGAGTGCCTTCTTCTGCACAGTCCACTCTCCTTGCTTCTGTTACACCTGAGGAGGTGAGGGAGGCAGTTTTTGACATTGGTAATGACAAGGCCCCAGGCCCTGATTGCTATACTGCAGCTTTCTTTAAGGATCAGTGGGCTACTGTGGGTAGGGACATCTATGAAGCTGTGTTGGAATTCTTCACTTCAGGGAATTTATTGAGACAAATAAATCATGCTATGATTGTTCTCATTCCTAAATCTTCCCATAACCCAACTGTTAAAGATTTTAGGCCTATTGCCTGCCTCAATGTTCTTTACAAAGTCATCACTAAGATTTTGTCTAAGCGTATGGCTCCTTTGCTCCCTGATTTGATTGACCCTGCACAAGGGGCCTTTGTCCCTGGGAGGTCTCTTGTGGACAATTTCCTCCTAGCTCAACACCTTATCAGGGATTATGCTGTCAAGAGGTCTACACCTAGCTGCTTGATTAAATTGGACATCACCAAGGCCTATGATACTGTCTCTTGGAGCTTTTTGCAAGGTGTGATGCATGGTTTGGGCTTTCCCCCTAGATTTGTCTCTCTTATCATGGAGTGTGCTTCCTCTGCTTCTTCATCTATTATGGTTAATGGAGACAGTCATGGCTTCTTTGCTAGCCAGCGTGGGCTTAGACAAGGGGATCCAATGGCCCCTACCCTCTTCCTCTTTTGTATTGAGTACTTCTCTAGGTTACTCAACAAAAGGGCTAAAGTAGGTGGCTTTAACTATCACAAGGATTGTGCAGCACTTGGGATTACGCACTTGGCTTTTGCTGATGATCTTATGTTGTTCTCTAGAGGGGATTCCCATTCTGTGCAGGTTTTAATGGATGCTTTGGACCATTTTTCAAGGGTGTCTGGCCTAACCCTTAATCCTACTAA